ATATATACATGTATAGTACATTTATTTGTGAATTTTAAGCAATAGCTCCATATTTCTGTATAAACAGACGAGACAAGAAGATTGATGTTTTCCTGCTAACATTTAGTGATACATTTGCTTATTTAATTTTAATATCTGATCGTTAAAGTTTTGATCTATGGGTTCAGACTGAGCTGTTCAGATTTGTTTATCGTGACGCTGAACCCAATAACTTTGTAATCCGATCTGCCTTTTGCCCGTCGCTCCCCGTCTTGACAGTGAAAGGGTGTTTTGTTGTTTTGCTCCTCGCCGTCTCATTGTGTCGTCTCTTCACTGCAGCTCAGCCTCGCTTCCATTTCCCTGCTTTTATTTCTCCGTCCTCTCCCTTCAGAAACACAAATCGGGTTACAGTGTCGGCGCTCTGTGGGCTATTGATTTTCTCATCTTTCCCATCCCCCCCGAACCACTAAAAAAAACTGTTTAGTCTCTTTGGTCAAAATCATTAAAAGTTTGGAGAAGAAAAAATGAAAACCCACTTTATGACTTTATGTGAACAAGAATTTGGTAGATGTTAACTAAAGCTAAAGCAGTTATTTGAGTATCTACATATCTGATTTTACTAAAAGTCTTATCTCATGAAGCAAAATGAATGAAATTTTAAGCAAAGTTGTTGCTTTTTTATTTGGTGTGTACAAAAGTTGTGAACAATAAATATCTTACCTGTTGCACACTGTATGAATGACCATGATTTGGAAAAACCKAGCTTAATTTTGACCACATTGATGAGCTAATGGCTAGTCGGGCTAAGATCAAAGCGGCTTGATGTAGTTTAGAAACAACTCAAATCTCCAGGGGTCGGATTTATAAAACTGTCGTACACACAATTTGAGCCCAGAAACTTGCGTACGCCACTTTTCATAGCCAAGGTTGTGATTTATAAAATCCAAACTTGACGTGAAAATGTGCGGTGCCTCACGCCAGCTYTGACCCATGCGTACGCTCATTTTGGAGACGGGAAACTGCGACACAGATGGTGAAGTGAAGAATTAGAGTCACACTGTGTAATGATCACTGTCAGATATTTAATTTACCTTCATCAGACTTAGATTTTTATTTAACTTTATCATCAACTTTCTTAACAGTAATACTTATGCTTCTGCTGCTGCTGAGCCATGAGGACCTTTGAAATAAAAAACTTAAATCTTAAATAAAAGTTCCCATGTGCAACTCCCTTCATCTGCTTTCTCCTCATGACCCTGACCCACAGACCCCTCCCTGACCCACAGACMCCTCCCTGACCCACAGACCCCTCCCTGACCCACAGACCCCTCCCTGACCCACAGACCCCTCCCTGACCCACAGACCCCTCCCTGACCCACAGACCCCCTCCCTGACCCACAGACCCCTCCCTGACCCACAGACCCCTCCCTGACCCACAGACCCCTCCCTGACCCACAGATCATGACCCTGACCCACAGACCCCTCCCTGACCCACAGACCCCTGCACGATGAGAACAGCAGGACAGCAAAAGTCACGCTTTGGATACACGCGCACAGCGCATCCACCTCACCAGTGTAGATGTTATAAAACCACGTTTAAAGTCTGTGTTTGTCACGCGCAGGGGGTGCGTGTGTGTGTGTGTGTGTGTGTGTGTGTGTGTGTGTGTGTGTGTGTGTGTGTGTGCGTGCGTGCGTGCGTGCGTGCGTGCAAGTGTGTGTGGGGGGGTGTCTGCCGCGGATAACAGAGCAGGCAGGAGGGGGGAGGAGGAGGAGAAGAGAAGTGAACTTATTTCTAATTTTATCTGACTTRTTTAATTTAGTTTTTATTGTTTTTATCGTCCTGCAGGTTCTGGGAGGAAATTAATTTGAAGCTGAGATTTGGTTTTTTTATAAAAATCGTTAGATTACTCTAAAGCAAAATGAGGGAAAATCTGTGTCAATTACAGACATTCTGTTCACGTGAGCAGCTGTCAGTCAGCACCTGTCATCCTCCAGACACACGACGGAGCGTCTCTGAACCAATCACTTTTGTTGACATTGATCAGCTGACTGATTTAAATACATCTTAACATTCATGAGGTACTTTATATTGACTGTTTATGGTTCAATGTGGGCGTGTAGAGGGCAGAACCTGAGGCAGGACCTCGTGTGAAAACTCTGACGTGCAGCTGTGATTTATAAAGGAAAGATGCGCAGAAACGTGTGAATGCACTGTTTTATAAATCTGAATTGTTTTTGGCATACGCCATTTCCACCTTTTGGCCGTACGKTCAYTTTTAGTATGGTTTCCACGCAATCCTTTATAAATGASACCCCTGATTTCTATAATGTTTTAGCCAAACAATGTTTTATAAACATTTTGATCGCTGTCATTTTTTTTCATTACACAATTATTTACTTTCTTACATGTTTGCTTTGGGGCATTTCTCCAATCAGTTTCGGCAAGAGCATTCTCAAAACAGTTTGCACATTTAGCAAAACACCACGGATTATCTGCAAAGCCAGTCTCCTCCTCAAAATCCTTAGTTCATCTCTCAAAACTAAACATCCRTTTCAGTGAATGTGTCATGACCATCAGAATGTCAAGTCTTTGTGTCGTTGTGTACAGATAGGACAGTGAAATTACTTAGTCACGTTGTCAAAACAACAGTGTACTCTGGAGGAGGATATGCTGGTGTAATTGTAATTATGGGAGATTGATTGCAAGAGGTTAGACAAGAGTTATATTTATGCTTTTACTGTTTGAACTGTAATCTGTTGACAGACCAGTCATTGTGATACAGAAAGGAAAAGAAGCACTGCAGAGCACAAAGGAAAAAAACAAAAGTAGAAATGTGAACATGATGTTGGACAGTCTCTTTAAGGAGAACTGCAGTCCTGTAGGAATTACAGTGCAGTGTTCCTACACCTCCTGACRTTCCTGCCTGTTGGGTCACAAACTCATCTACATGATAACAAACATGTTCTCTTGCAATGCAGCAAGGAAATAATMTTTTAGAGTGTTTTATCCAGCCTCTGCAGGCATCTGCTGTGATGTYATCGCACGCTGCATCCGTGGCAGCCAGAAGGGACATCTGCGCATGTGGCTGGAGATCATGTACTTTCCATCTCCATGCTGAGAAAAATCCCTCAATGAGGTTAAAGAATGAGGAGTAAGGATAGGAAATCCATCAGCATCCTGTTTTGGGGCATAAACTATTGCCTGATGTTGTTGGAGCGATGACATTGTTCCAAACGATCAGAGGTGTCAAGTAACTAAGTACACATTGTTACTTTACTTAAGTAGTAATTTTGGTTATTTATACTTTAGTAGAGTAATTATTTTTCAGCCTACTTTTTACTTCTTTCTACTCCTTACATTTTATTTCAATTACCTGTACTTTCTACTCCTTACTTTTTAAAGATGCAAATAGTATTTTATTTCTGTTTAACTTTGCCTTGTTTTTATTCCATCTTTCCATTGTTCAGAAAAAAATAAATAGAAATCTATCCAGATACATAGAGCCCATGGATAGTGAGTTTGACTGTGGTTGGATGAGAAGTGTAAATAAATACCATTCTGCCATCCTATTGGACTGAACTCACTCCATCTCACCTGAATGACACAAATCACATCACATCCAGCAGGACATAC